GGAGTGCTACCCATGCCCCCTGACAAGTCCTGTCCAATCAGACACCTGGATCTGCACCACCACCTGACTTCCTCCCCTTCCACAATTCTGTGGGACAGAGCTGCCAATCCAGCTGCAGCAGGAGGGGGAGCGAGAAAGATCTGTGCATAAGTGCACAGGAGACATGGACACTTCTCGTGCTAGTGCATGAGAAGTATTATGTAGGCTGTCAAAGGAGAGGGTGCGTGGTGACACTATTTTATGGCCTGTGATGGTTTTGTTCAATAAAAAGGACGAAGAGGAAAAATATCAGAAGAGTGCCGGGTCATTTTCCAGGCAGACAGAGGGTGTATGCAAAGTCCTGCTGTGCAGATTATGGTAATGTGATTATCTAAATTTATATTTTAGGGATTTACAACCACTTTAATAAATGCCTAGATAAAATGTGAAAGTAGCGCCTTAGCATGTCTAGTTAACAAGGTTATGGATCCCATTTAATATATCTCAAATAGAAGATATTACAAAGATCACAGGTTCTTCAATAGAAACAATGCACAGGCTACATAAATCTATTGTTTTAAACAGAAGGAGGTGATGCAGCTCTACATTTAATACTGTATTTTTCATATAAAAAAAGGATTTAGGAAAACCTTAAATCAGGACTCCAATTACATACAATAAAGAGAAGTCTTGTAGAGTGATCCTAATCCACAGTATATCTAATGGACTGGTCACTTCCTGTAGTTTTTATGCCTGATCTTTTAAATCACAAACTGCCAACTCAGGAGAGGAAGTAAAGGAAGGGTAAACGCCAATAGTGATTAGACTTAAAGGGGAAGTATGGTGGGTTTTCACTGTGCACAGATTTGCGTTATTGCAGCTTATAGACCTTTTTTTGTATTTATTTATTTTAGTAGTGTAAAGATTTGGCCCACACGCTACAATGGCCATTTATACTTTTGTCCTAAATATGGAGAAATCATAATAAACCTAAGAGATCTGAAACAGTTTGTATTTATTTTGATACATTTATGTGGGCAGTCATCTTCATTCTATTTAAAAGGGCAAGTGTCAATCTGGTACAATACAGCGGCACAGTGGTTAGCACGTCTGCCTTGCAGTAAATGGGTCATGGGTTCAATTCCTGACCATGGCACCTCCTGCATGGAGTTTGCATGTTCTCCCTGTGCTTGCATGGGTTTCCTACGGGTGCTCCGGTTTCCTCCCACACTCCAAAGACATGCTGGTAGGTGAATTGGATCCTGTCTAAATTGGCCCTAATATGTGTATGTATGAATGTGAGTTAGGGACCTTAGATTGTACACTCCTTGAGGGTTAGGGACTGATGTGAATGTTCAATATATATGTGTAAAGCACTACGTAAATTGACGGCGCTATATTAGTACCTGAAATAATAATAATACAGTGGAGTGTGTTAGCCACTTCAGCTCCATGTGGAGAAAAGAAAGTAGAGTATATATTTAAAGTGGGGTGTTTTGTAGTCCTTACTCCCTTCCTGTCCTAGGGTGAAAAGGCAGCTCGTCCAGAGATACAGTGAAGTGTTGTCGCACTAGAAAAGGAAGAGTGTCATTGGTAGAATCACCAAGAGAATAAAATGAAAACTAATGCATCCACCTCATCATCGAAGGCTTGGTTCACTCGTGTGCAACTGCATACTGTGTATAGAGCAGCCTGTTCATGTTAATGGGCTGCTCTACCTGCAGAAATGTGGGGAAATAATTGCCTGACCATTTTTTTTTTTTTTTTTTTAAATTGTGCCACACCAAACCACGTAGTGTGGCACCATAAGGTTTGGTGCGAAGGAAAATGTGCTGCAGGTGCCATTAAGAATTAACGGGACCCCTGCATGTCTGCTAAAGTGCTGCATCTTTCTCTGCGGGTTGGAAACATGCATTTCCCCCGCTGCACAGATGTGAACCTAGCATAAAGGCTGCTTATAACATATTAAGTTTTTTTGTTTGGGTTTTGATAAGAGTTATAAATATATTTTTTTGGGGCTTTGGTTGTCTGAATGAAAGATCTAATTATTCCCAGGTTTTAACAAAAAAAAAAAAAAAAAAAAAAAAAAAAAAGCGCATTCAGAAGACATTCTCAAGAATTAAGAAATTAATATTAGGCAAGGCTGGAGTATTGCTACCATTCGATCTTTCTGGAAGCATTAAAATGCTGGATTCACCTTTTACCTCTGCTTAAATGTGTCATTCTCACTCTTTCCTTTGTATACCCTAGCATATTACAGTAAAAAAAAAGAAAAAGAAAAGTGCACTATGTAGTCCGAATGCTAAAGTTCAGACTGTGAAAATCTCTATGGCAACATCTATACAAGGGAATGCCATGAATGCAAGTGTGCAGGCTGTGGGGTGAATACATTGTGTACATAGTGTGCTCGGGGCACATTATTCTTTGATCTGGTCATCCATCTCACATATTTTATATCACATACTGTAGACAGGCCTGCAGGTGAGGGAGTGAAGTAGATTGTTACCTCGTAGATGGGGAGGGTGTCAGAATTCCATGCATTAATTCGTGTCTCATTAACATCCACCACTGTTACTTTGATGTCAGGGCACATGTGAGCAATGACGCTGCAAGTAGGACCGCCAACATAGCCGGCACCAATACAGCAGATCTTCTTAATCTGGAACATTTCTATGCTGCAAATTAAAGAAAAAAAAAAGTTACATCAACCTTCCCATTTAACAGTGACATGTACTTTTTCTGAAAAGGACTAAATTATTGGGCAGATTAAAAATCCCAACTAGATTGCCATTTTTCTTTTAGGTGGTGCCCAAAAAAACCTACCTGTCTGAGTTATCAGCTTCTCCCTGTAGACTTTAGAGGACAGACTCCTGACCTTCTCAAAAACAGCTGAGTTGGCCAAAAAACAGATTTTGGCCAGACACAGCAGGACATGGTTCATTGACGGGAAATGGCAATATGACGGGTAAGAAGTCCCATCATTTGCTTTGGTTCCCCACCCCCTCAATAAGTAGACACTGGTGCCTAGAGCAGTCTATAGCCCTGCCCTACAAGCATGGTTGTACAATCTCAGCCTTCACATTCTGGAACCCACCAGGAGATGGCTCCTCATCCAACAACCCCGTGTGGTCTATGGCTACCCTTAAGCCCTGGATCACATTGAATGTTCCTTTGAAATTGTGCTACTTCAGTGTGATTTCAAAGCGATCGATCAGTACAGCTTCATGTGAGGCTTGCCAATATCTGTGCAACTGCATGCAAAGTGTAGGAACAGTTTTCAAAGTCGGTGCAAATTGGAGCCGCACAGATTTGAACAGTTCCATCCAGCAATAGGGTGAGACTTGTCATGTGACTTTGATCTGTCACGTCGCACTGGTTTGAACTATGTCTGCACATTTAACCACCAATATATGTCATCAATAAATACCTTAAAGCAGTATTAAACCCAAAATAAAAATGTTTTGGATTGCAGTTTACCGATTGTTAAAATACTTCTTTTGTTTAGGTGTCTTCACTCTGGAAGTAGGAGCAATAGACACCTTTGGACAGCAGCATTGTTAATCTCGGGAGAGGATGGCTGCTTTACTTTTCTTTTTAGCCCCCCCCCCCCCACCCTTTTATTTTCATCCGTTGATCCGTCCAGTAAATCTTATTTTTGCACTTCCTTTAACAGACCAAATTGTCAAGCAAAAGTGTCAGAGTTGAGAAAAAACGGTTTACATGGACAGGGGATGTATATACTGGTCAGTTTTATTTATTCATGTAAAATTAAAAAAAAAAAAAAAAAGCACCACAAACAAAAACCTGTTGCTGTAACTGCTTTAACGTGTTTGCTAGAGTTCAGCTTTAGCTTGTTAATCAAGCCCATATAAATTTGCTAGTGGATCTAATAAATACCCTCTCCCCAGATTAACAATTCTGCTGTCCAAAAGGTGTCTCCATTGCTCCTTCATCCAGATTAAAGACACCTTAACAAAGGAAGTGTGTTACTGGCTGGATCACCTGGTGAAACTAAGGGAAAACAAGAAGGACCAATGCAGCCTATACATTAAGGGTAGGTAAACTTCAATAAATTACATTTAAGTTTTGATTTTAATTGCTTGAAAGGCAAATGTACAGTAAAAATTGAAAGTGAATTCTGCCAAGTCACTAGGCATATTATTATACACTATTATACACTAGGCATATTATTATACACAGATAAATGTAGTCAACACAGTGGCGTTGCTTTACCAAAACTAGAGAGTGCAAAATCTGGTGCAACTCTGCATAAAAAACAACCTATGTTCTACAGAAGCTGGTCTCATGACCGTCTTCTGCCAAACGGGCATCCTGGAGTACCAGCATCTAATCAGTGCTGGCAGATGGTGTTAGTAGGACGATCTGAACAAAAAAAAAAAATAAAAACAAAAAAATACAAGTTCTAGTGTGTACCTGGCTTTAGACACAAGAGCCAAAAAGGGCAGAACAAAGAATTGTTAGTAATGTTAAGCGAACAAAAAGCCCAATCATTCACATTTACACAAGGCACATGACCCTTATCACTTCTGAGAAAAGAGAAGAACTAAAACAAACATTATGAGCAGTAGGTGGCTGGCCACAATATTTACTCCTGCCGATTGATGAACAGAGGAGAGATCCAAATCACAGGATAATGATAGCCTGGGCCTCCATGTTCTGGAATTGTGGAACTTGACATTCCTCCTGATCCACACGTTAAACACATACATATGGTTAGCAGAAGGACTGCGGGTTCAATGAGCCGTACGTCAGTGGAAGGAGGGCCCTGGCATCATACAGTCTCCAGTGTCGTTGTGCAATCGTGGCTACTCAGAAATCTCTACAGGGATTTCTATGTCTAGTCTGGTCTATTACACAGAACATGTGGGGGTGATGGGGGATAATTGGGCAAAGAGCAATGATGATGTAGTAAAGCCTGACATACATCAGGGGAGTGTATCTCTAAACAGATGATTCATCCCATTCATTTCTTTGCGGTTAGTGGATATCCATGTGTTGCAAAATAAAACACGTTGCATTTTGTGGTTTTACACGTTAAGAAGGCCCATTGATACAAATTGTAAATGCAAAAAAAGTTTATTATACATTTGTGTGCATTTTACCCTGCCACAACCTAAAAAACTGTACAGCCACCATCATTATCAGTCCACCCCCCAGCTATTACCTTTTCTACCACTACCTCCCCTTTTGGACCGTAAGCTCCATGAGCAGGACCCTCCTAATCCTTCTGTACTCAGTTCTATTTTAATTGTAATGTCTCTTTTTATTGTACAGCACTGTGCAAACTGCTGGCTCTATATAAATCTTGTATATGAATTTTAACTCATCTACACCTTGCAACTGTATAATGGAAGAACAAAAGTGCATCCAAAATGCATTTGCAACAAAATGTGCATACACAAAGACTTAGCTTAGGTTCACATATATGCAAGTGCACATGTGCATTTAAATCGCATGCATTCCCATTAGAAAACATTTGGGAGTGCCATTAACTCTTAATGGCACCTCCCACACACTAAATACTGCATACCACGCAGCCATGTTTTAAAAAGTTGCAGGGACCTTTTGACTGCAGAAAACGTACACGCAGTAGGCCATGGAAATGAATTGGATGCTGGGCCCATGCACACGCAGCACGCACAGCCACATATATGTGAACCAGCCTTAGACCATAATGGGGCAACCCTTAAAGCGGAGTTCTACTCACTCTGTAAAAAAAAATAAAAGTCAGCAGCTACAAAAACTGTAGCTGCTGACTTTTAAAAAACAGCCATGTAATGGAACCATCCCAGCCTGCGCTGAGTACTTCCGTTAGAATATCGCTTCCCCATCCAACACCACCAATGACCATACAAGACTCCTTTATTTTAACACAGATACAAGATATCTACACTCAAGGGAAGAATCCCCCCCTCCCTGCATAATGACACGGGGTGGGAGCAATCTACATTTAGTAACAAGAGACACACCAACAGACAGTCCCATCAGGACGGAAATGAAAACAAACAAGGGCGCACTCTCATCGTGCATTCTCATCGTGCATTACCGTGGTATACCACGTAATTTATTGAATAAAAAAGGATGTATACTCACAAACCAACGTGATTATAGGCAGTATGAGTGATCCACAAAGACAGTCACAATACAACTGTGTCTAATGATACGGATAATCTGACGCGTTTCGGGGGCTGGACCCCCTTCCTCAGAGCCCCCAAAACGCATCAGCTTATCCGCATCATTAGACACAGTTGTATTGTGACTGTCTTTGTGGATCACCCATACTGCCTATAATCACGTTGGTTTGTGAGTATACATCCTTTTTTATTCAATAAATTACGTGGTATACCACGGTAATGCACGATGAGAGTGCGCCCTTGTTTGTTTTCATTTACCAGTGGTCAGATTTCCCGATCTCAGAAGGGCAGCACCTCCTCGATTGGCATTTTGGCAATTCCTTGGTTTGCATGAAGATTGGAGCGCTGGTTTCGTTTGTCCATCAGGAGGGAAGGCTACTGGATACACCCCCCAACAAGCCAATACACATAAACACATACATCCCATAATAGTTTGCTCCCAAACCAGACAGACAATAGAACAATGGGATGCAACCACATAACAAAGCCCACCCAATATTAGGATAGATCACCCTATCCACCTAATGGAGGCCATAGACGGGTCGTTTATCGGCCGAATTTTCGTCCGACAAAAAAAAAAAAAAAAAAAAAAAAAAAAAAAAAAAATCGGCCGATATTCAAACTGTTAGTGGGGCAATGTCGTCAGCCAATTTTCGCGGTTCTTCTTGTTTCTTTTTATCAGTCATGCTGGAAAATCTACAAAAAACGGCCGTTTTTCGTAAGCATTGGTGGCAGCAACGACCGATTTTTCATTTATCGGCCGACAATTTGGCCGATACATGACCCTTCTATGGCCAGCATTACAGGCACAGGGTGACTTACACATAAGAGGGATATGGGGAGCAGAGACAGGTGTCTCCCCACCTCTCCAAAATGAGCTGGGTTCCATGGGCCCCCCACACAAAGTGACTCCTGTCACAAGCCACTCACCAGTCCCATGATCCCGCAGTGTCCCCCACAGCCCGTTTCACTGGCTGTCCTGTATTCCAGGCACCGGCATCTTCAGTGTGGGCACCCGGCTGTGACAGCTTGCGGGGAGGGAGGGTAGGAGGACAACTTCCGCTTCCTATCACCTAGGCCAGGGGTGGGCAACTGTGGCCCTCCAGCTGTTGTAGAACTACAAGTCCCATGAGGCATTGCAAAACTGACAGTTACAAGCATGACTCCCAAAGGCAGAGGCATGATGGGACTTGTAGTTCACCAACGGCTGGAGGGCCACAGTTGCCCACCAGTGGTCTAAGCGATCGCAGCAGAATTGGGAGCGGGTACCATTCAGGTACCCACTCCCCCCCCCCCTCCTCAAAGGTGCCAATCCTTAATGGGGAGCGGGGGACCAATCTTTAAAGCGGAACGTTCCCTTTTGGATGGAACTCCGCTTTAAGGGTTACCAAAGGCTAATAATTTTTTTAATTTTTTTTTTTTAGAAAATTAAAACAATAAACATGTTATACCTTCCTGCTCTGTGCAATACTACTGCATAGAGCTGCCCCGATCTTCCTCTTCTCGTGTCCCCCACTGGTAATCTTGGTTCCTCCTCTTCTTCCCCTGTCCCCATAGCAAGCAGTTTTCTATGGAGGCACATAGTGTCTGCTCGCTCCCAAGCCACACTCCATAGACTCCCACAGTGGAGCTTAGCCCCACTTCCTCCTCACTGCATTTGATTGACAGCAGCAGGAGTCAATGGCACCTGCTACTGTCAGAGTCCTGCATGAAGAGGAAGGGAGGGGAAAAGAAATGTAGCTATGCACAGCACTAGATCTCTTCTCTTCCCCTTCACACAGGGAAAGGGGGAGGACAGAGAAATAGAACACATTTTATACCTTAAAGCAAGCAATGTATTAAAAAGGTAAAAAAAAAAAAAATATGTTTTAGCTTTAGCATCGCTTTAAGAATACGCTTAATAATGGACAGATGTTAGACCGGATCACAAATATTGCTGCACTACTTGTAAATATCGGACTTTATACAGCTGCCTTTACATACAGAAATCAGAAGCTTTTATGCGCCCGCATACAACACATAGAAAACCAAATTAAGAGCTTATTCTTTAATGCAGAATGCAACAACAATGTGCAAAGTGCATTAGTCAATATAGCAAATAAGAATTTGTTGGCCACACATGGAACTATATTATAGAAGATCGTATTGTGGATCAATTTACTGTCTCAGTGAAAAATACAATCAGAAGAGAGAAAAGATTGTTCGATACATTGTACACTTCAAGTGATACTAAAGGCTCAAGGTTTCTTACCTTCAAGCATTCTATGCATGAGGTAAAAAACCTTCTGTGTGCAGCATTCTCCCCCCCAGACTCAACTAAGCCCCTTATCGATCCAGCAATGTGCATTGGAGTCTCGGCTATCCCAGGACTCCCTCTTCTCATTGGCTGAGAGAAGCGGGGGCCATGGGCTCCAAATCACAGCCATAAAAGAAGAGAGAGGGGGCTGGGGTCGAGCCGTGGCTCTGTGTGAATGGACACACAGAGCAATGGGTGCCCCCATAGCAAGCTGCTTGCTGTGGGGGCACCCAACAGAAGGGAAGGGCCAGGAGCACCTGCAGGGACCTGAGAAGAGGGGGATCCGGGCTGCTCTGTGCAAAACCACTGCACACAGCTGGTAAGTATAGACATGTTTGTTATTTTTTCCTTTAATAAAAATAAGCCTTTAGGATCACTTTAACAATCACAATAATCTATTTTCCTACAATCAGGTTTTCTGTTCAGACTGATAATTTCAGTGAAATTAAATGGTTTTCCTCAAACTCAATTGTATCATAGTATGGAGTTGATTTACTAACTTACTCTGGGGAAAATGCACTTGCAAAAGGCAACTACACTTGCAAAGTGTCCAGCCTGTTAGCCTTTAGTAAATCAATTCCTATAGGTCTTTAACAATTCACAGATTTGATCATATAGCCAGATTCCGTGAATATTCATGTGATCAAATCACCACATGCATGACCACCATAACACTTCAGACGTACGTGCTGTCAGGACAGAAGGGCATGGAATACGGCTGGGATCCCAATGAATCTCCTGACAGCACGGCGCCTGCAGGTAATAAATGAGGCCTTTCATTCCCTCGGTGAACACTTCACAGAAGGAGCATTCAAGAACAGGGATTTCTTTCACCATCACTCACATTACTGGATATAGAAAGAGTTCCAGTATATTATAAAAGGCATTTGCACAACATAAAACCCTACTCTGATAGGAGTAAGCTGAGTAGGCAGCATTTAAATATCAATGAATGCTGAGCAAGAAAGAACATCCTAACCCAGGGGTGGGCAAACTTTTTGACTTGAGGGCCGCAATGGGTTCATATATTGGACCCGGGGGCCGGACCAACAGTAGATGAATGTATGTGTCATCCATGTGTATAGGAATATTCCCCCATAGTAAGTATAGGAATAATCCCCCATATAGTAATTCATCCCCCCATATAGTAATTCATCCCCCATATAGTAATTCATCCCCCATATAGTAATTAATCCCCCATATAGTAATTCATCCCCCATAGAGTAATTCATCCCCCATATAGTAATTCATCCCCCATATAGTAATTCATCCCCCATATAGTAATTCATCCCCCATATAGTAATTCATCCCCCAATTAATTCATCCCCCATAGTAATTCATCCCCCTATAGTAATTCATTCCCTATATTAAGTCCCCAAGTCCCCCCTGTGTCAATTCACTTACCTTTGCTCTGCGCGTTCCTCTCGCCGTGTTCCCGCGCCGTTCCGGTGTAGCATGAAAATCTGTCTCCTATGAGGATCTGTCCCCCTCGACGTATCTGCGCATGTGCCAGTTTCAGGCATTAGCAGCCGATCGGCGATCTCCGGCACATGCGCAGATACGTCGAGGGGGACAGATCCTCATAGGAGACAGATTTTCATGCTACACCGGTCTTCAGGGCGGACTGTGAGAGGAGCCTAGCGGGATTAAAAGGTCCGCCGGGCCGTATACGGCCCGCGAGCCGTAGTTTGCCCATTGCTGTCTTAACCTGTAGTTTCATCCCTTCTAGGGGGACCTAGACTACCCTGAGCTATCTTCCCATGAACTTCTGTGACATGTATAAATTTATTACAGATACTTATATAGCGCCGTCAATTTACGCAGCACTTTACATATATATTATACATTCACATCAATCCCTAACCCTCAAGGGGCGTACAATCTAAGGTCCCTAACTCACATTCATGCATACACATACTAGGGCCAATTTAGACAGGAGCCAATTAACCTACCAGCATGTCTTTGGATAGCGGGAGGGAACCGGAGTACCCGGATGAAACCCACACAGGAACATGCAAACTCCAGACAGGGGGTGCCGTGGTTGGGATTCAAACCAACGACCCTAGTACTGCCAGGCAGAAGGGCTAACCAACATATAGAGCTGAACTTTCAAAGCCATTCATTGCTGATTATTTGGTAGCAGATTACAAAACACGTTTTACAACTAGAGTCTTAAATTAACTCTCTTACAAAGTAAGGGCATGGGACAATTGTCTTTGTGAACAGATCATCCAGCCTAGGTCACTCTGCACTGGAAACATTCACGGTCAACGTGAGATAATGCCAAGAACACACTGACAAATCAGTGAAAATGTAGCAAAACAGGAGGCAAAGTTCTAACTATAGTAGTCTTTCCCAACCTTTCTACTCCAGTAGAACCCTTGAAATAATTTTGAAGTCTCAGAGAATCCCTGCAAAAATTAGTCAATTGGGAGTCATTAGGAAAATGCCCCTTGCATTGGTGGACAGTGGGAAGAGCTTCCGTCTTAGCATGGTAGTCAGAATGCCAGCTAAAAGGATCATGGGTAACATGCCACTGGCTTGGTCAAGCCATGTTGGACCTGGAACTATGGAGACACCACCAGATGGGAGGTCAATCATCCACAGCTCAAGGAACCCCTAGAAACTTCAGGAGGAACCCTATGGATCTGTGGAATCCTGGTTGAGAATGGGAGGTCTAAAAGTTGGGCATTTTTTCCAAAGAGTCTTTTTGTACATATGGAAATGTGATGTAGTTAAGACTATGGAAGATGCCGCAATTAGGAAAGCTGTAATGACACGAAAAGAATTATAGAGGAGCATGGGTGGCCGTTGTCTAAGTTTGATTTCCTAGAACCTTGCTTCGGCCTTCTTCTATTAAGTAAGGATAATGGTAAAAATTCAATCAAGAAAGCATTGATACACTGGTTACTGAACAATATGTTGTCTCTAGGACTGCCATAGTAACATCTACAGGATCTATTCACAGCTGAAATATTTTTTTGGGCCAACTTGCTACAGTATAAGGGCTCTTTTGCCTCTTCTTTTCCGGTGGACACCCTGAGCTACCCCAGAGACATCTGGTCAGCCCCACGGGACCAAAACTCCTCAGACTTTCACGTGACCCCCACCCAAATCTCATATACAGCTGAATTAACCAGGATGATGTGCCAAGTGTGGTTCTAACAGCCAATCACAAGTCAGTCTGCTCTGGTTAAGCAATGAGAGATAAATTGCTCACAACAACCCAATACACATCGCAATGTTCCAGGAAAACCATTAAAGTCTAACTAGAGCCAAAACTGACAATGGAAGAGTGTTATGGCAGCCAAACATGGTTCGAAAATTGGCCGATTTTTCGAAAAATAAATAAAATCGGCCGATTTTTGCACTGTTAGTGGGTTAATTGGACGGCTGTTTTTTGCACATTTTTTTTTTTAATCGGCCATGTCGGAAAATTTGCGGACGATTTTGACGATCGGCCGACTTTCCCAGCAATGATGGGCAAATCGGCCGATCATTTTACTGATAAAAAGTCTGTGCATGAGCCGTGACCTGCAAGGGACAGAAGTTATGGGGTGAACTTGATTGAATAATTTAGTCGGTTGATTTTTTTAATGGTTGGTGGTAATGTCGGCTGACCGAACAACCGATTTTTCGTTTTTTTTTTTCGAAAAAGCGGCCGATGTTCGACCCGTCTATGGCCTGCATTATGGTCTTTGCTCCAACATTCCTATCTGCCCAGACACCATTGTCACCAGCACTTGGTGGGGGGGGGGGGGGAAACCAAAAACAAACAAAAAAAAAAAACCCACACATTAAGCTGCTACTGAGACAACAGAAAAGTTCCTCCAGTAGAGATGCAATACTTTATCCAAGGACATCCATCAAGAGGGTGAATATAGCTGGCCATGACTGGATGGAAATTGGGCCAGTTCAGCAGGAAGCCGCTGAAT